CCTCCAACCTAAGAGCACTGGCTTCCAACCTACTAGCGATGGCCTCCGACCTAAGAGCAAAGGCCTCCGACCTAAGAGCATCTGGCTTCCAACCTAAGAGCACTGGCCTCCAACCTAAGAGCGATGGCCTCCAACCTAAGAGCGATGGTCTCCAACCTAAGAGCTATGGCCTCCGACCAAAAGAGCGATGGCCTCCAACCTAGGAGAAAGGGTCGGGCGATAGGCGATAGGGCGGCAGCGAAGTCTTGTAGACGGTTGCTATCGGCTGCTCAAGGTATCCATGTTCAGAGTAGCCGCCCAGCAGTGAACAAGGTGGAAGTTGTATTGTAATCCTCGCTTTTGTGAACACATTGAAGAAAGAAGATTATTGAACAAAGAACCCCCTATTCCCAACCAGTTTGTGTTTTTTCAATATCCAAAGTTGGCTTCTTCACCACCCAAGGTCAGGCCGCCTTTGACTCCGTGGCAGAGATGGCCAGCGATGCCGTGGAGAATGCGGCCGCATCAGGTGGGGAGCCTGGGCGGGGGTGCGTTCATACCGTTTGTGGCTGTCCGTACGCCAGGTGGGTCCAACCAGTTCGTTTGGTTTCCTTTTTTTTTTTTCAATATCTTTCTTTCTAATTGCAATGGCCTCCAACCTAATAGCGTCCTTGCTACTAGTAGCTACTAGTAGCGTTCTTGCTACTAGTAGCGATGCCCTTGTGACTAATAGCGATGGCCTCCAACCTAGTAGCACCTTGACCATGTTTGCTTTTGCTGTCTTGCTCCGCTCGACCGGAAACGGACGGAGGAAGCGATTCGCAGAGATGCGGGGACGAGCGTTGAGAGCGGGCGGGGGAAGCTGACGGATGAGCTGCGTGAGTAGCAGAGAGGTCGGTCGAAAGACCCCGCAGTGGGTATCGTTACTAGTACCAAGGGCATCGCTACTAGCAGCAAGAAGCTACTAATTAGTAGCTTTTTGGAAAAACACTCAGAAGAGGTATAGCCTTTGGTGGCACAAGAGGCGGCAGACACAGAGAAAGGGTGATTTTGCTATTAACGAGCAAGCCAGCCTTTGACTCTGAGGTACTGGTAGGTAAGGGGGTATGGGTATGGGGATTAGGTGGGGTACAACGAGTGAAATCGCATCAATGCTTGAACATCTTCAGAAAGACATTTAGATTCCACTTCTGGGGTTGTGTGTCGCCATTTGTAGTCGATATTTGTACCCGAAGCCCGGCCATTCGTCAGACCTCCTGGCCATCCTGGGTGGCTCTTTGAGCTGGATCTATGCGAAGCACTCGGAGCACTAATCACCAATGTAAATAGGAGGATTAGAAGACCAGCTCTTCACAAGACGATGTTCATGAGAATTTTCTAACTTAAATTTTGAAGAATTCTTGCAATTTGACAGGCTTTGTTTCAATATGCTTCAACATGTAATCTCTTGTTCAAGTTCTAGGTCTTGTTCTAAGCAGTTTCAACCGGTTTCAACCATGGGAGTGAGAAGACTTCGCTGTGACTTTCTCCCATCTCCATCCATTTCCCAGGTCTTCCTCCTGGGCGGCCTGACCCTCGTGGCTGGCCGGGGATTCCCATCGCGATTCGTCTTCCTCCGCGCGCGGAACGGTGGAACTTCTGCACGAAGAGTTGACTAGCTTCTTGTTACTACTAGTAAGGCCCTTGTTACTAGTAGCGATGCACTTGTTCCTAGTAGCTTCTTGTTATAGAACTGAATGTGGTCGTTCTGAGTCTTTGAGGTGTGTTCTTTCGATGGTAAGCAAGGACGCTACGAACGGGGCTCCTGGCATCGCTAATGGTAACAAGAAGCTACTAGGGGCTCCTGGCAGCGCTACTAGGAGCAAGGACGCTACTAGGGGCCCCTGGCAACCTGACAAGTCGTCTCAAGACTGTAGAAGCATCTTGACGACCATGTTCTACACTGGAAACTGAATCAAAGTCCTTTTCCTGTCCATCCATCCCATCCTACGAAGTTCATCGAAGTTCCATCCCTCCAACTTCCGTTTTCTTTCTGAACCTGTTCAGTCCGAGCTGTGTTTCACACCCACCGAGATCTCTTCTTTTTCGCAAACCTCCAACCTCCAACCCCGGACCCGAAGGCCCGCCCTCGACGAACCGTCACCGACGAACCGACCCGGGACGACCCGGGACGACGCCCGGTTCGTCACCAGGCCTTGGTCAGATCTTTCAGCTCCTCGGTTCGCCAACCGCGGTTGTTCGGTGACGGCGCCGACGGTCCGGAGAGTCCGGTGTCCGCGAGAGTCCGGTGGACGAAATGCCGCTTCCGAGAGAGGACGGGGGCGAGAGAGGTGGCCACCTGCACGTGACAGGGTGGTTGGACTGACCTGCTCGGACGCTTTCGTTTTTCCGTTTTGGGTCGCTTTTTCGTCCGGAGTGGAGCGAGAAAACAAAGGGGACACGGGCTGTAGAGTGTTTGTTGAGCACGCAGGGAGCATTCGGGTTCGATTGTTCAAAGGTCCTTGAAGCGACCGAGGAACAGAGAAATCTTTCTCGGGGCTTGGCCGATTGGGAACATGTACGATTGTAGGGAAAGATCCCGCTTCACAAGCAATCTGCAGTCTGGTCCTCTCACCAAAATGAAGACGTTATGGTACTTGAGTTAGGTTGAGTTCAATTTCAGAGAACTAAATGTATTCTCTTTCGGTGAAGCCCCGACAACCTCTTCTCTTCATTTGAATGGCCTTTGCCCGCACTGAGGATGGAACAGGAAGATGAGTTTCCAGGTTCGTTGAGACTCGAACGGAAGACGACCTCAACCGTTTTCTGCTGTTAATGAAACCCTACAGTACTAGCCTGAGAGTACTAGAAACCGAAGGGTGGGTGAATGAGATTCTCAAAATGGGGCTGTGCTTGAAATGGATTATGATTGGCCAAGGTCATTTGGAAAAGCTATAAATGACGCAAGGGACAAGTCCTTAAACAAGCGGAGATAAAGGTGCTCATCTGCTCAACATTAGGATGGCATTGAACTAAAAGAAGAAGACACTACCTCAGAAGTGAACGTTTCCTAACCAACGTGCAACGTGCCGTGCCCGCAGAATCTCCTCTGCAGCATCTCCATGGGTTTCTCCTTACTTACCTCTATCACTGCTTTCCTACTTCTGGATTCAACGAAGTAGTGAACTCTATATATCACTGGAGAGTCTGAGTGACCTCTATTTGGAAGCACCAACCATCCAAAATAAGGTCTTTTCAGATCAAAAGCGGGGCTCATGTCTGGTTCGAGGCATAGAATCCATTCACAATCCACGCTCCGTTCAACGGTTCCAGGTGTTCTGTTCGTCGAAGTCGATTGATGTCGTTGCAAAGTTCCTCGAAAAGATTCTAATTACTCTAATTACTAGCTTCTTGTTTCTAGTAGTAAGGTATTTGTTACTAGTAGCGATGCACTTGTTCCTAGTAGCTTATTGTTTCTAAGCCATCATGGGCTTTTCTTGCACCAGGTGTTCGCTTTGGTCTGGGCGACCGTGTGGCTGTGGGGCGCCTAAAAGGGGCAGGGCGTTTTTTGCGAAACGGTGAAACCGAAGGCTGCTTGTAGGAGTCTGACCCAGGCGTGTGTATTTTTATGGCATATGGGGAGACACCTAGCCAATGGGTTTTGGTCCATTTTCCTTCTTCCAGATTTTCACACGCAACTCCCTCCCTCCAACAATGGCAGTGGAAATGACCCTGGAAAGATACGGATTGTCCATTGGAGGGTACATACGAAGACCACACTGGACGGGGCCTTTGTTCCTACCCTGGATTCCAGTTTGCCCGGCGAGTGGCGGGTGGTCTACGGCTTGTTCTGTCCGCCCCTTCCGGAGTGGTTCGGCCGCTTTTTGGATCCCACACCGGTGAAGTTTGGAGGGAATTCATCAGTCGAAGGAACCTTGCTTCTGGGGTGTTTTGGTGTTTTTTTGCTTTTAACACATATTGACCTCGCTTCCAAGGTCATCGTCATTGTATTTCACTCAAATGGTCCAATGATTGTGGCAAAGACATGCAAGAACCGTTTTCGCTTTTTCCCCTAGATAGCGAGAGCTTTTGGGGTTCTTACTTCAAGCATATGAAGAAGCGCCTGTGTGCGAATTGGAGCCTGGGTGCTGGTGCCGCTGGGTTCGGTGCCTCGCCTGGGTTCGGTGCTGCCCACCATTTTTCTGTCTTGACTCGTTTGATGCTGGGAGTCATTTTTCTTTTTTTTTGTCTGGAAGTCATCATGGTATGGCTTATCTGACGACTGCCACTGACTACTTGACTGCTAGGCCTTGGACTGAGACAGTCACTGGTCTTTTCGATCGCAAGCCGGAGGCCGAGGCCTTGAAGCGCCGAGAGGAGCTGGAGGAAGGTGCCAGACTCACCGAAGACCGGGGGAGAGTTGGACACGTCTACGTTGATTTGTGGCGGGCGTTCCAGGCGTTCCAGGCGTTCTGTGTGTGGGCCTCTTTTTGGCCTTTGCAACTGCTAACTGAGTCTTGGCAAGCTAGCTGGATCCAGCTTTCGTCGCACTAGTCAGTTTGGCCGCCAAAAGAATTCGGAGACCTCCAGTGTGCAGGTGTGGAGATTGTCGAGGATGAAGCGGGCGACGACTTTCGCCAGGCTGATGTCGGGTGGCTTTCTGGAAGGAACAGGAAAGACAAGACGCAAAGGACAAAGGACATGGAGGGCCTCTCCAGAGCAGTGTTCACATCTAAAAGTCTCAAAGTAGAGAGTCAGCTCTCAGAAGATTGCTGGCTCTGATTGAGTTTGGGGGTGGTTTGATGAAGTTACAGGAATTGTTGATTGGTTCCAGGGTCGTTTCCACTTCGACATTGGATTGTAGGAAAGCTTCACCCCATACTTCTATCCTCCCAGCTCCTTCTGCTACTAGGGTGGAGGACATCGCTCTTAGGTTAGAGGCCATCGCTAGTAGGTTGGAGGCCATCGCTAGTAGGTTGGAGGC